GGTCTCAGACGATCTACACCGAAAAGACATTAGGAGCACTCATTCCTTGTACCCGGGAAATTATTCATAAGGGAGGGATCTACACCAGAAAAGTAGTTTATGGCCGGTTCCCATATAGACACTATGGCCCACCCTTTTTTTGAACCTTGTCAACGATCGAACTTAAAGATATGAACTGAGTTCCATTTTATGAGTAAATGAGAACAAGGGAGAGGGATATGGAAAGGATGAAGTAATGAAAGACGAAGTCATTGCTAGTAGTAACGACTTGTCACGATCCATTGGTTCATATAAAATCCATGTCCTAGGTGTATCAAAAAACATTCTTTTCGCTAAGCGTATATAATAAAATAGAGTGAAAGGTCCACCCCGAAAGGGGGTACTAACTAATAGCTGAGTCCTCTCCGAACCGCAGGAGATAGTTTCCCATCATACGGCTCACCAACTTAACTTGCCTCTACGGGAGACTCGCTCCGGGCAGGTTCGGATTGCAATACACGACTCACGAAGGAAAGGTTTGGTGGGTTGGGAACGTTTTAAATATTATTATTTTTCCGCGATGAGAAATGCAAGACGAAAAAGGAACCCATCTTTTCGACTGGGAAATGCGAGTCTGTTTTGTCCACTTTCTCCATCCCTCTCTATCAAAATGATAAAAAAGGAAGGCGAGCTTGCTTCTTATTCTCGTGTTCGATCTCTTCCATCTCTGCCCCGCTCGTTGTCACCTATGTTGAAGAAAGGTTTGGAACCCTGTAGAGAGTTAAGAGGGGCCAAGGATCTTCCTTTCAACAGTACTTCTCGAGGCTCCACTCTCCCCCCCTGAATAAATAAGGCCCCGTTAGCCTAAGCGCAGTTCTTTGAATCAAACATTTAATGAAATTGATTCTTTTTTAGATATAAAAATAAAAATAGGATAGGATAGATGGATGGATCTATCTTTCTATTAATATATATGACTAAAAAAATGGATTTCTTTAAGTAGCGTAGCAAGAAGCCCCCAATACTTGATTTGGCCAGGAAAGACTGCATTGCTTTGGGCCCAGGAAGCGAAGGGAATGAGCTCGACTGCTTATTCTTCACACTTATTTTTTATCTCCGTGCCCCTTTCGCATGCGCTTCGCGCGCCATTGGCGCTTTGCTCTCCTCTTATTCTTCATTGGAAGGTTCGGATGGACTTCGTCGTTCTTTCCCAACAAAAATAGAAAAGGTTGTATCACATCGAGATGTCGATTCTTTTTCCGCCCCCAATGAGATGGGGAATTTGTAACCCCCTATTTTTACTTTTGTTTGGACCCTTCATCTTTCTGAATGGAGGCCCGGCTCGCGTCGTTCCAACAACCGGCGGGGAGCACCTCAGTATACGATCGTGCGCAGTAACTGGGATTCCTTTTTTTTACACCTAAGGAAAACTTCAATTCACCAAACCAAGGTTCATCTCGTGTAGTAATTGTGAACTCGTACAAGGATATTGAGTAGACGATTGATGTTTCAGACTCGACCCTATCTTTCGTAGCATGCATTCCCATCGGTGTCGCAACTAAGGTAAGCTACGTGTCCGGTGCACGGAGGACTGCTTCGGTCCCCCAAACTGATTGACTCGTGGCAACCTTCCGGCCGCCCAACAACCTATAACGCTAGTCACTACTCCCACTGGGGCTAGGAAGTAAGCCCTACAACCCAAAGCGGCGAAGAACAAATAGAATTTTCTACAAATGCCGGCTAACGGGGGTATTCCTACATATGAGAACATAGTAATGGAGAAGGTTATAGCCGAAATAGAATTCGTTTTGGCTAGAGCGCCCAAATCTGCTATATATTTGACACGGCTTTGCCGTTTTGCTAAAACTATGGCGAATGCATCTATCTTCATTAATGCATAAATAAAGATACCAATTAGTAGTGATTGAATTCCTTCTATGGTTCCACATGAGAACCCAGTACGAATATAACCTACATGTCCAATTGAACTATGAGCTAGAGGTCTTTTTACTTTCGTTTGGGGCATGGCGGCCAGTGCTCCTAAAATCATAGAAGCAATGCTGCAGAAACAGAAGATTTGTTGCAATGTAGCTCCATAGGAACCATAAATAGAAACACGTGAAATATTAGCAAAAATAGAAATTTTAGGCGCAATAGAAAGGAATGTTGTAACCAGGGTGGGTGAACCCTCATAGATATTAGGTGCCCACATATATAGAGTCAAAAGAGATATAGAGTCAGAAGGGGAGGGGGGTTTTCTTTGGGGCTTGAGAGATGGAATAGATAGGGCCCAAAATGTGTTGAATTCTCCGCTGGGGAATTAACATGAAAGGGAACGAAGAATTCTCGACAAAAAATAAAGTGCTATCTGAACCGAACGTGAAAGTAGTTTTCCATCAGACGGTTGTTCCCGTAACTCCACTCTCCACTTGGATTATATATCCAAAAAGGTCCGCTCTTGGCCATTCCACACGCTGCCTAGCAGAGGCGTGGTTATCTCAAGTGGATTCTCTCTTTTTTAGTAGATGCCAAACCTGCTGCCCCATTGACTAAGGGGGCGGACGCACTACATGGACCCGTTTCTTTCTGTTGTTGCCAGCGCTTTCCCGGGCCGAGATATAAAGGGCAGGCAACGAAAGTTGCTATCCCAATAGGCCTGCGGGCGGAACGAGGAGAGGGCCCGACAATAAAATCAATCATACCGCCGCGGTCGAAAAAGCGTGTTCCCTTCAGATAACACGCACCGTAGGCCATCCTCGGCCTTCTTCATTTTCGATGAAAAAGAAAAAAAGATCGATCTCCGAAAGCGTTTGCCTTTAGGAATTCCTCAGACTCATATCCAAGGCAGCTTACCACAAGCACCCCACACCATACGACTAGTTGGGGTTCACCTTTTTAATCAAAGAAAGTCAGTATAAGTAGTAGGGGCTTCATAGCTACTTTCATTCTAAAAGAAATCGAAGAACCAACCTTTAGTCAATAGGAGCCCTACTTCCCTCTATGTGACCTCATCACTTCAAAGCGCAAACCCATTTCTTTTTGAGTCACCGAGCGGAGCGCACCTTTGGTACTTCAGTAGGGCAAGCTTTTTGAAAGTTACTTCTTTTGTTTGGTAGGGCGACAAAAGAAAGGCTACTTTAATCTAGGAAACTCGAGAGAGTCGCCTTTGGAAGCTTTTGCCGGTAACCAAAGCGTCACTCCTTCATTTTGTTTGATTATGTAGTGACACTGACTGAATCCAATCCATAAACCCGGAAACGAAACTAAGTTCGTTCCCTTTCGTCAAGTAGTTAAAGTAGGCATACGAACCCACTTTTGCTTTGCCTTAGACTATGACCGAACAAAAAAAGGTTCGTCACTTTTTTTCACATACACCGGGAGAAAAGGTTACGATAGCAAGCCCCTCCTCGGCCGGAGAGCTTCCAGAACAAGGGGTTGGCGGTCAACCATCCACTCTCGAGATTCATATTGATCAATCGATCTCCGCGTCCTGCCAGTTTACTAAGTAGACTCACTCTCCCGAAGGGCAACAATTGAACTATTCCTACCAAAAACAAGGGACCTACTTATCATCCTAGGAGTTAGCAGGTATGATTGCCTCTCTGTCTCTCCGAGTTTATACTACTAAGTAGCACTTCTGCTATTCAATCATAAAATAGATTCCGATCAAGCTGAAAGATGAAAGAAAAAAGCCCTATATTATTGACAGCGCCCTGCAATTAAAAAACAGCGCTAACGAGCAAGAAAAGGCCCCTTACTATAGTATAGATAGGCTAAAGTTTGAAGTCGCTCGACCCAAACAAGCAACGGCGTTCGAGCCCCTATCAGAGAAAGCCTTGGTAAAGCGCGCTAGCGCGCTTGACTTGGAGGTTCGCGCATCCTCTTGCTGGGAGAACTTTCTCAAAGTAAACTTTCTCGCTTGTTAGTCAAGCTTTGAAGCCCCTACTTTCTTGATGGTTAGGATATTAAAAGACGCGCTGGTTTGGAACGGAACCCTATACAAGGGGCTTTTCCCAACCTATATATACAAGGTGCTGGTCTCGATCTCGCTTGGCGGTGCCCCTCTCGATGATTGTTGACTCAACATTGATTTCGTGCTTGAGTTGGAGGGCCCTCCCTCCATCGAGTCAAGTAATTCGCTATCGGAAATTTAGCCGCCGCGTATCTCATGCCATGCTTCTTGTTTCTCCGAATCGGTTCCGTCTGTCAGTCAATCAAGATTCGCCATCAAGAGAGGGAAGAGCCTTGACTTTCGGTTAGGCCGGTCTCGTCATTCATGCAATTCCCCCATCCATCGATCACGCGAGCATCCAGTCAGCACATAGCGAACGAAAAAAGCGTTCATCCTAGATTATCTTCCTCAATAAAAATGTCTATCAATTGATACCTATTCATTCAGTCAAAGTCTCCACGGTGTTTTCACGCCCCTCTACTTAGAGGTGCACCATGTTGATAGGAATCAACAAAGACCTTCTTGTACACGTCCTAGAGGGCTGCATTCATGGCAATCATCACTAGTTTATCCCGAGGGCATGGTATGGCTTTGTTCTTTCTTGGTGTTATTTAATAGATGTCGAGTGCCGCTTTTCCCCGTCCGAGAATCTCCATCTTCTCTAACTGGGCGAGCTATAATCCTTATGTCAGGTTGGTTGTTCAAAGGATATTTTATCTTTACCCTTCATCTTTTCGAAAGCCTAGACCCATTCTTCTGGATCTTTATTAGTCCCAGGTGCCCTCTTCAAGAAAGACCTCTTTCTTTCTCCTCCATTTATCATTTTTTTTATTGAATGAGGATAAGCGCTATCCATTGAGTAAAGGGAGGATTTCCTACACTACAGTGATTCGGGCGGTTGGTGGCCCCTTCGAGAGTTGCGGGTCCTTGCCGCTGCATGAGTGGTAGCTCACGCTCAAAACTCCTCCGACACGAGTCCTAGTCGTTGTGCTGCGGTCCGTTTTGCCGGCTTCGCTTGCGCGATTTTTTGAACTTACTTTATTATTGGTTTAATCCATCCCCGACCCTAATGAATCGAGTATGTATGAAGGGGTCAGTAAAGCAGTTCGGGTTCTCGGTCGGTTCCCATTCGCCTGCCCCCCCTCATAGTCGATTAGTGGGTAGGGTGGTCAACTTAGAGGGTGCCCGCCTCCTCTACAGACGTGTCTTCGAAAACCTGGCGGTTGTTCGGTCTCCACTTTTGGAGGCGGGAGTGCTTGGTCGCTGGGGTTTCCTTTTCCTCAACCAATTCGGTTGTGTCAGCCCTGAGATTGGTTGGTCTAACATTTATAAGCAGGCTGGCTGGACAAAGATGGATGGAAGGTAAGATAGATTTGAGTTCAAGTGGCACAGCACCTTCGATCGACCATGGGGCGTATTCTACCCTTACCGAATTAATTCTATTGAAGAGTAACGTAAAACTTCTCATGTTGCATTTCTTTGGTTTGGAAGTTCCAGAATGTTGTCTGTGGATTTCTAACAAAGGAAAGCCCCCTTTTCTTTATGCCATTTGATTAATGAAAGTTTCGTGCTACTCGCCACTCCCCGAGGCCAAGGACGGGGTCGAACCGTCATTCCAGGATTTGCAGTCCGATACATTTCCATTATGTTACCCAGCCAAACCCGCCACCTCGTGTGCCAAAGTCAAATGGTTGTTCTTCCTTCCCCGCTCCCTATTTTTCTACATATGCAGTGGCGGGCGGAGCACTCGATATGACCGGCGGCGGATTACCAGAGAAGAGGGGACAACTTATTTCTCCCTTGCCTTGCTCCATTTTCCTTTTATGGTTTTAAGTAGCAAGTCACTCCACTACTAGTATAGAGGCCAGAAGTTTGCTTCCTCCATATGTTCAGGCAAAGAACATCTATAAGCTAGCTTTTGTCTTGTAAGCTACCATGCCTAATAATAATAATAATATAATTAAATTTTGCTTACCAAAGCAAAGTAGTGGTATTACTAAAAAAAAGTAAATAAGCAACCAGTTCCGTTCCAAGTGACATGGCTTTTCACTATTCCTTATTCCTTTCCAGAGAAGCCCATCCAGCCCAGCGAATCCATTGTTTATGCGGCAGTGCGATGCTGCTGAAAAACGTAAGCCCTTAGGTATAGGTTGGGGAAAACTCCAAAAAAGGGCCTTATTCTTCCTTATATTAAATATAAGTTTTAGAAAGGGGCATCCCTACCCCCTAAATTACAGGCTAGCGCGCAAAGGATTTTCAGTCGTTGTTGCTTTTTTTTTTTTGCAGGCTCAAAAATATCTCTTTCGCCTCTCCTCCCTGTCTCCATTCTGGTTGATTCGCTTCTTCCTTAGCGCAAGCGCTTGGTTCGCCCCTTTTGTGTTGCATTTTTTTGTGATCCCCCGCTTCAGTTTGCGTTTTTCGGATAGCCGGGATCCGACATTTATTTCCTATTTATTTAAATGTCAGCTCCATGTTTTGGGCGGCCCATCTGGTTAGTTCAGCTATCACTACTGAAAGCCCCTGCGGTTGTTCGGCTGCGTACTCCCCGTTTGCGTTTCTCATCACACTCCCAAAGCATCTTTTTTTTCATATTTCTTTCGGTCGGCTTCATGCAGATAGATGTTTGCCGGGGGAGATTGGTGCTCCTGAGGTATGCCCTTCCGGTGGGTTGTTATATTTTCTGTCTATTCCATCCAGTGCCCGCACTGCGTCAGAAAATATTCGTCTTCGATCTCTCTTCGCAACGCAATAAAGAAAGAAATCTAACAGTTTCTCTCGGCATCTGTCTTTTAAGTCATTGATCTCATATCTATAAGCAGGGGGGTCTGCGTTCACTATTAAGCCTACGCCCGTCCATTCCTTTCAAGCTTTATCCCGCCCTTAGACTCGCTTAATGCCCACTTACTTAAAGACTCGTTGGCTTCGCGCTCTATTCGGTCGGAACCCGGTTTGAGAACCTTCTCTCATAGATTCCTTTCACCAAGTCATCGCCAACAATCAGCTCTTATCCCTTGGTGTGGTGTCAAAGGGCGGGTTCCTTTCTTGTCTTGCCCAAAAACTTGATTCTCATTGGAGAAAGACTTTCCCGCGGCAAGGTTTTACACATAGGGCCAGCTGCTTTCTTTATCTCGCTTGCCGTTAGTCTGTTTAGCGCCTTTCTTTCGGTTGGGGTCCGTCCCGGGCCTTAGACCGCTTGGGTTCTATTTTTCTCTAAGGCAGTCAACGTGTCAGCCATTCCTCTCCCATTAGACTTGTAAATCCTTTGCTCTTTTTCTTTCTCTCCCTCTACTTTATTTGATAGGGGAGGATAATACCACTCTATCAATAACAAGAATACAGTAGCAATTTAGTTTAAAATGGTTTGAGCTTGGAAGTAACCTACTATCTATCGATAGGCTAAAACAGACTGCTATTGGCTGCTTTGCCTATCTATTCTATTATGGTCGGCTTGGAGACATCAGAGGAAGACCGTCATTTCTATCCGGGTACGATCATAGCTTCATTCGTTAAACCTTGGGGTGGGGATAACCATTAGCATTGAGGTCAATCACCACACCACCTCTATCCTATCATACGACATTACATGACGCGAGAGTGCATGGTCAACCCACACCTACCTAAATAGAGCGACATATATTCTCTCTTTTCATACAACATTTTGACTTTCCTTTGTGATGCATATTGATTTCCTTTTTTCGTATTATATTTTGTTTAAACATTTTTAATCTAAGGTCTTTCCTTTTCATTTTCCTGTTTCTATTTGATTCACATGTCATGGCTTTGTGTGAAAATTATAGTGATGTTGCTGGTGTGCAATGATTTTGTGATCTATTCTTTTATGTTTAAGTTTTATTGATTGCCATTTTCATTCCAGTCAGGAAATGCCAAGATCAAGTTTCAATGTGGAACTTGATGCTGCCAATGCAACTTGGTTGTTGAATGATGTAGCCTTGCTGTCAACAAAAACTGGTGAGCTGATGTTGCTTACTCTTATTTATGATGGAAGGTATGTTGCTCCTCCTTTTTCATCTCCGTCGTTCTATGTTCTTTATGTTGTGGATCTTATGTAAAATATTAGATGATTGAATGGTAGACTATATATATTAAGATTACACTTCAACTGACATAGGGTAGGCATGGTGCTAGAATACTGGATTTGGGCCTAGGCCCAACATGATGTGTTGAATGGAGAGAGTAGTAACATGTCAGATTCTGTTGGGGGCAGTTAAAGAGGGATAAAGGAGAGAATTAAGGGTTATGATTGTTAGAAAGTTTGTAGGTACTAGGTAGAAGGAGATTTATTTTGAGATTTGTAAAGTAAACAATATGATTGAAGAAGAGAACAAGGCAGTTTATTTATTTTTCTCCCTATTTCTGCCATTATTGCTCTGTACTAGTGGTGTTGAAAACAGTACAAAGTACAATTATGATTGAACCTCTTTGAAGTATAAACCTCACAATTACATTGACACTGCTGTCTTTACTTATTACTTTTACAGTCTATCTATAGTCATTTTTAACACATTCTCTTGAAAATTTTTAGGTTGGTAATTATGACGTAGATGCTTCTTCAGCAAAGAGATTGCAGAGGTCACCTTCCGATACTTTGCAAGATATGGTTAGTGGCGAGGAACTCTCTTTGAATGGATCTGCTCCAAATAGAACAGAATCAGCACAGCTAGTGTTTTGTTATGCACGAGTAGTAAAACCATTCATTTGTTTGTCATCACTTTCTTCTCCATCCTCATTGTAGTATTTTGTTTTGAAATGTTTAGGTGTGTTTAACTTGCTGAACTAGTTACATGTTGGCTGCAGAAATCAGTCTCATTTGCAGTGAGGGATTCATTGATTAATGTTGGTCCTTTGAAAGATTTCTCATACGGTTTAAGAATAAACGCTGATGCAAATGCTACAGGGATAGCCAAACAGAGTAACTATGAATTGGTCAGTATTTTTTACTTGTTACTATGTGCAATTTAGTCAAACTACTACTAACTTGCTTGGTTCGGGCTGAGAAGTTTTGGGGGAACAATACAATAAATTTGTACCATAGTACCAATACCATACACACAAAAGTTAATATCTTTTTAGAATAAGAAAAATTAAAGACATCCATAACTAATAATCAACGTTGAATGTTACCGATTTTCAAACCTATTATAAAGCAAATAAGTTTATTTTGGTGAAATGACCAAAAAGTCTAATAAAAACTAGAGGAAATGGATATAAGTTGGGAGCTTCAGGTTTGGATTGGAGATTCCCTGTAGCAGATGCTAGGGCTGCTACTTTGTTGTCACTTAAAAACCCAAGGAAATAAAGTTTCATGTAGTGCCTAGGGATCGTTATGCTATGCATCATCGCTATTGACTACAGAAAAAGAAAGGATAATGGGAGTGAAATTGCCTATGAATCTGATATTTTTAGTATTCTATTGAACCTAACTTCAATCCCATTTTGTTTGTCATAATTCTGTTTTATTGTTCAACATTTTTTGTTTCATGTATCTTGTGGCACTATGCAGGTGTGTTGTTCTGGTCATGGAAAGAATGGTTCCTTGTGCGTTCTTCGACAATCAATTCGCCCAGAATTGATTACCGAGGTTTGTCCATGGTTCATTATCTTGAGTCTTTTTTATTTCACATATCTTGATGCTTTTGTTTATGATTTCATAGTTTCTTTGCACTTTCATATAAGAGAGCTATTAATACTTTCGTTTTTGATGCTGTATCAATACGATGGTATTATAAATACGCCATTTTCAAATACATCACATATTTGATTTAAATGTACTGCTTTCATTTTCGGTAATTTCTTGTAGATTACTGAATGACATATGCTCTATTATGAGCCAGTTGACAGTAATTTTTCCAAGCTGTATGGAACAATCACCGTATTTTTGTAATGCACAATTTTAGGTTGAACTTCCTGGCTGCAAAGGAATTTGGATTGTTTATCATAAGAGCACACGTTCACATAATGCCGACTCTTCTAGGTTGGCTGATGACGAAGATGAGTATCATGCATACCTAATTATAAGTTTGGAGTCTCGTACTATGGTAACTTATTTATTCTCATTCCATCTTATAATTGATTAAATTGTTAGCAAGTTTGGATTTTAATGCAAAATTTTGAGAGTAAATATTGGTAATACTTTTTGGTTTTGTTACGAAGTTACAATGTCTATTTTTTGCCTGTTATGGTTAGGTACTGGAAACAGCTGATCTTCTGAGTGAGGTTACTGAAAGTGTTGACTATTATGTTCAAGGAAAAACGCCTGCTGCAGGGAATTTATTTGGAAGGTCAGTCTTTATCAGATTTTGCTTATTGCTTTTATGAATCTCTGTTGTGCTTTACTGTTATCTGTTT